CATATATCATTCGATATTAGATATTATCTCATAAATATTGCATAGGAATAAAAGTACTCTCACAAAAACTATATCCATTAGATAGTACGATAAATCAGTTTACTTTTTTATTTTACAAGGAGATTTAAAAAACTTACCTTCTTTTGTAATATTCTTTCTGTAATAGAGAAAACTTACTAGATAAATAATACTTTTTTAATTCTATTTTAAAAATATTTCAGCCTAATCTGAAGATAAATAATAAATTGATTAAATATAAAATCTCTACTGCAATGGTATGTTCTCATCGAAAGCAAACAAAAGATGATTTTCTTAAAAGTTACTGTTGACTTCAAATTTCGTGTAGCTATAAACTACTAATATATTATTCACTATAGAAAAATAAATTTCCATTTAAAAAGAATTTTTCGTTTTCATACGATTATTTTAGTTTAATATTAATTGATATTCCATGTGTTATTATAATACTATATACTGTTTCGGATTATGCAACTAAGATTGATCATTATTTGATTTATAAATTTTTGGCCATTGAATTCTTTGTCAATTATATATGATTGATCGTAATTAAAATAGATTCAAGTAACGATATAATCGAATAAGTGAGATTTATTGCTTTATGAAAAAATATGCTATTCTACAATTGTATAGATATTTAATAATTTTAGAAAACTGGAAATAGTACTTAAAATCTTATGTATACTTATTTAACAATGTCTATAAATATAATTTGAGAATTTTTGGTTATCATTTCAGTTTCGTTATCGAATTATTGAATTTTTACAATCGATCAAAAACTAGAGAAAATGATTTTATTCTTTTGTTTTCTAATTTACGATAGAATGTTATTAAAAGAAAAACATTTTTATTTAGTAGCTTTTTTTTCCAGGTCTATCAATTACAAAAGATAATCGATTAAAAAGAAAATGAATGTCATGAAGTCAGCAATTATATTTTCTAAGGACACAAATGTTTTAGTTTTTTGTGATCATCCCTTTATATTATTTTCATTAACTCACAATGTCTCGAGCTGAGCACAAAGCAAAACAAATCTATAATTCATATCCTGTCTTCTGTCACATGCCGTGACAGATGTTGACATATGAGCAAAGATCATATATATCAATAATGTCTTTTTATAATTTATGAATAGAGGTGTAAGGCAATCGGCTGAGTCACCATCGATGGATGCAAAATTTTAACGATATATCAGTCTTCGTCGCTACATAAATTAGTTGGTGAAGATTCCAATCACCATCGTGGCAACACAAAAATATATGATGTGTTCAAAAAAGTTTCCCGATTGATTTTATTTAAAAACAACAAGAAGCGTTGTTGCATTAGTAATATTACTGATGATTAGTTCATGAAATCTTTTATCTATAGACATAATAAGCTCTACTACATGAAACATATATGTGAAAATATAGAAATACATTTTAGACTACACTCTAGACATTGACAAAAAAAAGATCATAAAAATTGATCGCGGTTCAATGATAAAGTTTTNGCCGTGACAGATGTTGACATATGAGCAAAGATCATATATATCAATAATGTCTTTTTATAATTTATGAATAGAGGTGTAAGACAATCGGCTGAGTCACCATCGATGGATGCAAAATTTTAACGATATATCAGTCTTCGCCGCTACATAAATTAGTTGGTGAAGATTCCAATCACCATCGTGGCAACACAAAAATATATGATGTGTTCAAAAAAGTTCCCCGATTGATTTTATTTAAAAACAACAAGAAGCGTTGTTGCATTAGAAATATTACTGATGATTAGTTCATCAAATCTTTTATCTATAGACATAATAAGCTCTACTACATGAAACATATATGTGAAAATATAGAAATACATTTTAGACTACACTCTAGACACTGACAAAAAAAAGATCATAAAAATTGATCGCGGTTCAATGATAAAGTTTTTTGTTCTATGACATCGTATCTCATTTAATATCTATGAACGTGTGAGGGACCACTTATATAGATCAATTCTCCATCGGTCACTACAGCTTTTGAATGAAATTGTTATTTTGAAAATGGATTATTAGGCTTTTATAACAATTTTGGATGCAAATAGCATTACTATTAAAACTGTTAGAAGCCTGATGGTCGAAGACGGTCAAATCACAACTGAGTAAATACTGAACACTGTTTGAATTACAAATGCATCGTATAAAGTATTTCATATGATCAATCAAACATGATTAAAGTCAATTGACAACAAGGTCACATTCACTAACGCGATATCAATACCATCTTGAACATATATAGAACAGTCATGAATAGTTCTTTATTCGTACTTGAAAGGACGAATTCATTCATATATCGTAGTAAAGCATGATTACTGTAAATTGCCACCGTACATCCATAAATTTTGAATAACAATACTCTTTCACAATAGACAAACTTTGATCAAGTTTTACATTTCATGTTAGTGTAAAGACTGTCGTTTAAAATGTATCTCTATATATAAATTTTATGCAATAGAGCTTATCATGTCTATAGATAAAGAACTACACGAACTACGCATAGGTAAGAATACCAATGTAATCGTACTTCTTGTTGTTTTTTAATAAAATTAGTCGAGTACATATTTGATTTTTAAAAATTTATTAAGTTCTCTATCATCATTTTCTCTTTTTTTTTCATTTCGAAATTAGATCTTTAAAAAATTTATCGAAAAATTTCATCCGCCACTATGATGCCTGAGAATTGGGTTCCTTATTGCATTTCTGAAGGTCTAACGAGGCAAGGTCCCCAACTGATCAATCGCTTTTGCGTTGAGACTATGCGCATTATGTAGGTGTAAAAGAGTTATGAATACTCTGAAAAAAGTTCGGACTGCTAGCTTATTGCTACGGAGATACTGCACTTTTACGGTATGGTTTTAAATGAAAGCTGTGGTCCCCCTCAGGAACATCAGAAAAAATGATTTTCCAATTTCGACTTGAAACTTTACATATAAACAGATCTTACCGAGAATAGTATTTTGTGAAACTTTCAGGTCTTTTTGCTGTTGTTATCGGTCGATACAACCATGATAATGTCTTTCAGATCAACCAAAAGATTTGATGTTATCATTTCAGGATAAGAACAAACAGAAAGACCTGAAAGTTTCACAAAATACTATTCTCGGTAAGATCTGTTTATATGTAAAGTTTCAAGTCGAAATTCGAAAATCATTTTTTCCGATGTTCCTGAGGGGGACCAGAGCTTTCATTTAAAAACATACCGTAAAAGTGCAATATCTTCGTAGCAATAAGCTAGCAGCTCGAACTTTTTTCAGAGTATTCATAATTATTTTGCACCTACATAATGCGCATAGTCTCAACGGAAAAGCAATTGATCAGTTGGGGACTTTCCTTCGTAAGAGTTATTTCTAGACCAATTAAAAGTTTTGAGTACATCAACCAAAATCATATTTTTAAGTCAATCACTAAATATGATACTATTCATTTGAGTGATCTTTTCGACATCACATAATTTTCTTTTATTCGATTCTCATTTGTTAAAAGATCTCTGCAAAGTTTCTATGCAAAGATTTTTACATTATTTTCGGAAAATTTTTCTTTATCAATAAATAAATATATTGTTGACAAGTTCCTAACAAAAAAAATATAGAAAAATTTCTACTATTTGCAAACGAAGAATTTCGCATCACGATAAGATTCTATAAGGGAAAGCAAATGAATGATGACTTCGATCAATAATTCTTCCTATACAATAGAATAATTTTCCATCTGTCATGTCAGATATTGAAATAGAACATAATGATAAATTATAGGATAAAAACAGCAACAATATTCTCTATGAATAATTTACAAGGCATGAATAAATATTCAATAATCATATGTAAATGAAGGACACTATTCAAGCAGAAAAACGATATATATTTCATTTAGTTATATAGCGACATCTTCCATGTAGTAAAGATTGGTTGAATAATAACTCCATTGGTAAAATCAATCGTCATCATTTATTCATAGTCACCTCATTCATTCCTTCTTCATCTTTTTCTCTTCTTCTTCCTATGACTTTCCTATCCACTAGTCAAGAGATCGTATGCCATTTTCTCATACTGTTCTCTCTGTTCCTTTTATATATAAATAGAATCTTAAAAGACTCTTTGACTCAGTTCTTTTTTTAACATTACATTATATATTCAATATCATTCGTAAGTGCTCATTCATCTAGAAAATATACTAAAGAACATTAGTAACAGCTATTAGTCGAAATATTTTTGTATTAAATGAATATATGTTTGATAATATAAAGCTGAAACTATTGTTGATGTTTATATCATCATCTATGTCTTCACCTAATTATGGCATAGAGAGCAACTCATTGTCATTATAATCGATAGTTGATAGATGTATATATGTATTACATCATTATTGTCGATGATATGAAGACGACAGACATGTTCATGTTTATCTTTATTATCACTTTTTTCTCTCTTTAAACATAATGTATGTTTTACTTTGTTGTATTAACAATAAATCATAGAACGAACATTTTGTATTCATTTCTCATGTCAAATAATAGACAAACTAACTCTATAACAATAATGAAGATGAATAAAAAGAATTGCTTGAATAATAAGAATATTATTGCATTGGTATGTATGAGTATGATTATAATAGAGAACTTGTTTTATTTTTATGTTAAAAAAAAAAGGTTAATTTATTGTTCAAATAGAAGTATTTTAATGGAAACTAAGTGGAATTTTCATCCACTTTTCATTTGAGTATTATGTTTTGTTCTATTCATAAAACCTTGATATCTTTCTTCTCTATTCTATTCAATACATATATATTGAATACTCACATATTAAAAAAAAACAAACACTTCACGTGAAAAAATTCTATAAATTTCATTGTTCTTATCCGTTTTAGTATAAATAATAAAAAGCAGCTGTGTCGTATATATCAATCTTATTATCTATTTAAATGAAAAGAAACGCACTATGCCGATTATTATCGTTCGATGGGTAATAAAAATACTTCAGCACATTTAACTAAGACTTTATCAATAAATGAACATGAAAAAAATCGTTTTATTCAACAACATAACTTAAAAAATAACGAAGATATTGATAGTTGTTTGGATAATTCATCATATAAAAGTTATAATGGTAAAAAACATGGTCCATCACCTCGTTTTCGTCGACATCATACAAAACAAATACATCTTGATAAAAAAGGAAAGAAAAATCAGGTAAATTTATTATCTTGAGAATAAAAAGAAAAAGAAAAAAAACCTATTGATTCAAATATAATTCGATTTATATTTGCATCATCTATAGACATCACAAGTTTTAAATGAATTGACATGTATTTATTAATCTAATTTATATAGAAGTAATATGACAGTTTCCTTTTCCGTCTGTTTGAGAATAGCATCTTTATCTAGAAGAAGATTATTTATTAAATACGAGAACACTATGAAGAAAAGAAAAATCTTGATTTAATCATATAAACACACATACCATTCAACGTTCCTTTCAAGAATGAATAGCTTAGTCGGCAATCTATTGATTGAATAAGTATTTATATAGGAAGATTATGCAATAGATTTTCAGCTTAAAGTAAACAGGAAAAACACAGAACATCCCAAAAGTAACTATACAAAAGAAAGATTAGAATATATCATTTATGATTTCCTCGGATGAATTAGTATTTAAACTAGTAGTGACAGAAGACACTTCCGAGTTTCTATTCATATGTTCAAAAGTAGAGACCTGCGGAGTCAACTTTTTTCATTCCGAAACCCGACTCCGACTCCTGTGNTTCCGAAAATTTTTCTTTTTTGCCTCCTATTCCGACTCCGAAAAACTCCGAAATTTTTTAACAATGTCATTTAAAAATAAAACGTTCTCAGCAGCCAAAGGACTCTTTAATGACTTAACATGCGCACGTTTTGCACTAAAAATCTCAAGTTTCTCTTTAAAAAAAAACAGTTTATGGATGTTATCATCTTCAAAGTCGCTTTTTCCCCTCAAAAAGCCTTTTTGAATGTGTAAAAAATCCACAGTTTTGCTCCTAAAAACGCGTTTCTGTTACTGATTTTACCGGCCTTGGCTGTTCTTCGTCTAAACAAGGAAGAACTAATGATGAAGATAGTCGTAGTACTTTGAATGACATTAATATATCTTTTTTGACTAATGTTGTTATGTTTTCATTTCACTTGATCATTCGAGTGTTATAACTGGAAAGTGATTCGCTCATCTTTCTGTCCTACAAGTGATATAAATCTATGTGACAGACATTACGCTTTATTTTTCTATTTACTAATGTTAAAAATTAAGTTTTGGTAAATCGAAAAAAAAATATCGGAGTCGAACTTGTAACTGACTTCGACTCCAACTCCGACTCTGAACCCGAAAAATTTTTTTCAGCAAACCCGACTCCGACCCGAACCCCGTCGGAGTCGGAATCGGGTTTCGGAGTCCTCCGCAGGTCTCTATTCAAAAGTCTTAAAATGCTTGTACAGAATAGTGCTTTCAGATTCAATCTTTGTCTTACTTTATAAACATTTATGTGCAATTCTTTAAAACAATTTGTTTTCCTCTGTTCATCAAAAACTGTGATGCACGGTATACTACACATTAATGAAGTTTTAGATTTGTTCTCAGTTACGAGATTTAGGATCAGTGTGCCTGATTTTTCCACATATTTCAAGTAAATCTTTATAAAAGAAGAGAATGAGATCGATATGAAATACAATTTAAGAAGTATAGCAAAAATTGTACGTACTGTTTTTCGAAAGTTGAAAAGAACTTGATTATGTATCGAACTTGGAAGGATCCTCTATCATCAGTACAAAAGTCAATTCATTCCGGAACACTATAAGAGAGATTTAAATTTTTCTTATTAAACGACTTTTGACACATTACGTATGTATTTTATGAACGAAATACCTCATAGGCTATGGTGAAAATAACTTAACCCTTTAGCCTCCCATTGGCAATTGGAATTGCCATTTTTAGAAACACCGTAGAAAATTTAGCATCTGAATTATTAANTCCAAAGTGTTTTGCACATTGGCCACGATCGCTCCGACGCCACTTGATTAGATTAGCAAACTGATTGTTTGATAACGGTCGAAGGTTTACACGTTAGCTGAAAACTGAGACGGATTTCTGTTACATTGAAAATCTAAGGAGGTGAATCATCGTGGTAAGTAGACATGGGTGATATCTATGAGTCTGGTTATTTTCTGCGACTTGCATGAAGCTGTGAAAGAAGCTCATTGGTTTTATAAGGTAGACAGGGGTCCGTGTGAAAGGAGCTTAGGAGATTTTCTCTTAATTGTTGAATGCATATGGGTTATAGTGCTTCTTGTTTAATGGCGTGTGGACGGTTTTTTTTGTTATTTTTGTTTTATATGAAAGATGGTTTATATGCCGTACGATCATTGCCAAGCAATGGCTTCCCAAATACTGATAATGGTGCTGCAGTTACTGGGAACGAACCATCTGTTGGCGTGGGCACCATTGTCGAACCGTCTATTGATGTTGGCGCCGCTGTCGAACCATCTTTTGATGTTGGCACCACAGTCCAACCTGTAGCACCTGCAGACAAAGGAAAAAAAAGAAAGAGTAAAGTTGTTCATGAAAAATTGAGAAAACCCAGCGAACAGCCACAAGGTAAATAACTTTTAAACTTGCGAAGCGTAGGTAAAACGATTGTCTTAGGTCAACATGACGGCGTCACTGATGAAGAATCTAATAGAATACGTGATATAACAATCGATTCAATGCCACAGGATTATCTGAATACAGATGTTGATTCACGTTATCTAGGTTTACTCTATTATCTTCTTCGTTCGCGTTCATTGAGACAACCACCATTACCAAAGAAACCAGAAGCATCTGCTTGTGCACCACAAGATGTCTATGTTAATTATGTTTATGAACATGATATACACAATCAAGTATTTAATTCCTCGTTTCAAGATCCTAATTCTGTTGTTATTCAAAGCCTTCAATCAGATATTGCTCGTCACACAGCTGAAGAACTTTACAAACGAAATTTAGTTTTTTATGTTACAGATGAATCACATTTAATAAGAGTGATGGATGTTAGCAGCCAATATAATGATCGTGCTGCACTTCGTTTTTATGTTTCAATCAATGTGAGTAAAAATCTGATTCCAATTATTCGTCATGTTTTAGAAACGGTCTTTGCAAAATTACAAAACGAACGTTTTGCAACATCAAATAAAAAAGTTGACTGGGGTGAGATGGTACTTATTCCAATAACAAAATAAGCAACAACAATAACAAATAAATGAACTGATTTTGCCTCTTGTTTTTTCCTTCTGCTCTCATAGTCCCATTTTATTAAAAAGAAAAGATAGACTCAACAGTTCATCTTACAATAAAATAAAAAATCATATTTATTGTTTTTTTTCTCGTTCAATAAATTGTATGCACTATTCTCTCATTGTGACATACGTTTATATTTGACATACAGAAATAGCACTAATGCAAATACGAAAAGGTTATACAAAGCGTGCATATTGCCTATATTTACTTGTGTCAATCAAGTCAAAATATCTAATGCTCAGGATGTTGATAAAAAAAATTCAAAGATAAAAAGAAACAGAAGAAAAAGGAAGCAGAAATAAAAGTTTCATGTTGCAGTAAAATTAGCCATATCATTTAATAAAAATACAGGTGAAAAAAAGGATTATCTTCGACTTTAAAAAAAGTCAGTTATGTATAGACGAATATTCTTCTTAATTTTCTTTATAAATTATCTAATAAACAAATCTCAATCATATCCAATACAAAAAAGTAAAGCATATTTATTTTGCCATAATTCTCCTTGGCAACCAAACAACGGACTTCCAATACAAATCCTTAATCATATAATTCATAAGCATCAAGTTAATACTGTATACATGTTACCGCATCATCGTGCAACAGAAGAAACCGAACCTAATTTATCATCAATTCATTGTGAAATAGAAAAACTTGATAATTGTGCAATTTGTCAAAATAATTCTGAAAGTAATTATTAATGTTTTTTTTCTTTACATAATTTATCAATTCTTATATCGATTTATTTCTACAGGCTTATTTATAATATTGCAGCATATATTAGATAATGATGATATAACAACTAATATACATATTCAAGTAAAAAACTTTTCACTTGATGTTATACTATTAAATATAAATAATAAAATTAAAACAATAAATTTAACATGTACAATACACAGTTATGATAATGGTCAAAACGTTTTACCAAATTCTCCATTAAATAAAAAAAATTTATTTGGTATTATATTTCTTACAACTTGTGTTGTTCTTACATTAACTCTTTGTACTGGATGGTTTGTTGTTATATCTTATCGTCAATATCAACGACGTCGAATACTAACTAAACTTAAGAAAGCACTTATCCATTCAGTTCAACAAATACTTGATAAAACACCAATTATTATATTTAATTCAAAGAATAAAAATAATGATTATATTGATGATGATCCAATGTGCGCTATTTGTTTAGAATCATTTACTGATAGTGAAAAAGTTCGAAAACTTAGTAAGATAAAATACATAAGCCTTTGTTTTTATTATCTTTTTTTTTCATATTCATTAATTTGACATTTGAGGTTCAACAATAGGTCTATTATTAATTAAATTCGGTGTATTTGTAGATCCTGATTCTTGATTGTTATGT